ACAGACCTTGCTGACCATACATAAAATACACAAACATCACATTGGGGAGACAGGCCAGGTTAGGTAGCAAAGGAAAAAACAGTGAAATGTGTAACATAAAGGGATAATCCAGGAATGCACAGATATCATCACACCATAACACAATAAAACACAGACAAACAACATTCCAGTGTGCACAGCTGGATCTGGGACCACTGCAATATTTGATCGCACCTCCAGCTGATCCACTGTCCACATCAGATGGGAGGTAAGCATGGGAGGAGGCATTGGTTTGGGGAAGGGAGGGTGACGGTGAGAGTGTATCAGTATCAGTGTACATGTGTGTGTGCGTGTGTGTATCCCGTGTTCAGCTGAGAGAAAGTGTCACAACGCCCAGTTAAGCGAAGGACAACAGTCTCCAGTGGACCCATGTGGCCTTAAAGGAGGGACAAAGAGTGCTGACAACAGTTCTGTTTATCATGGAAGAATTTTTGTTGTTCCAGTCAGCTTCGACCTTGGCAGGCCTTCAGCTGGCGCCAGCGCGATAGCTGCATGAGTGAAGACGGTGAATGTTTATGTTTAGTGTGAACAGCTGCATCCAGCTTTTACAGTTGGTCAAATGTCCGTCACTGGTCACCAATTCTCTCAATTCCCATTCTTCTTCTCCAAGATCTTACCCATTTCAAAGCTATGAGCTTCTCCAAGATGTTATCCATATTCCGTTTAATAAACACAGTCCTGCCCATTGTCTATCACAGGGGTGTCGAACTCCAGGCCTCAAGGGCCGGTGTCCTGCAGGGTTTACATATTACCAAGCCTCTGGAGAACGTCAAGATGTATTGAGGATGTCATTTGGCACTTAAATCAGCTGTGTTGCATCAAGGACACATCCATAGTTCCGGAATGTTCGGAATTCCGGAATGCGCCATAATTCCGGAATGTTCGGGATTCCGGAATACATCAAGGTTCCGGAATGTTCGGAATTCCGGAATGTGCCAAGGTTCCGGAATGTTCGGAATTCCGGAATGCGCCAAGGTTCCGGTATGTTTGCAATTCCAGAATGTTCAGAATTCCGGAATGCACCAAGGTTCCGGAATGTTTGGAATTCCGGAATGCACAAAGGTTCCTCTAATGTACGGAATTCCAGAATGTTCAGAATTCCAGAATGCACAAAGGTTACTCTAATGTACGGAATTCCAGAATGTTCAGAATTCCGGAATACGCCAAGGTTCCGGAATGTTTGGAATTCCGGAATGCGCCAAGGTTCCGGAATGTTCGGAATTCCGGAATGCGCTAAGGTTCCGGAATGTTCGGAATTCCAGAATGTTCAGAATTCTGGAATGCGCCAAGGTTCCGGAATGTTCGGAATTCCAGAATGTTCAGAATTCCGGAATGCGCCAAGGTTCCGGAATGTTCGGAATTCCGGAATGCGCCATGGTTCCGGAATGTTTGGATCTCCGGAATACGCCAAGGTTCGGGTATGTTCGGAATTCCGGAATGTTTGGAACTCCGGAATACGCCAGGATTCTGGTATGTTCGGAATTCCAGAATGTTCGGAATTCCGGAATGTGCCAAGGTTCCGAAATGTTCGGAATTCCAGGATGCGCCAAGGTTCCGGTATGTTCGCAATTCCAGAATGTTCAGAATTCCGGAATGCACCAAGGTTCCGGAATGTTCGGAATTCCAGAATGTTCAGAATTCCGGAATGCGCCAAGGTTCCGGAATGTTTGGAATTCCGGAATACGCCAAGGTCCCGGTATGTTCGGAACTCCGGAATACGCCAAGGTTCTGGTATGTTCGTAATTTCAGAATGTTCGGAACTCCGGAATGCGCCAAGGTTCCGCAATGTTCGGAATTCCTGAATGTTCGGAATTCCGGAATGTGCCATAATTCCGAAATGTTCGGAATTCCGGAATACGCCAAGGTTCCGGAATGTTCGGAATTCCGGAATCTTGGCGTAATGTTTGGAACTCCGGAATACGCCAGGGTTCCGGTATGTTCGGAATTCCGCAATGTTCGGAATTCCGTAATGCGCCAAGGTTCCGGTATGTTAGGAATTCCAGAATGTTCAGAATTCCGGAATGCACCAAGGTTCCTCTAATGTTCGGAATTCCAGAATGTTCAGAATTCCAGAATGCGCCAAGGTTCCTCTAATGTTCGGAATTCCAGAATGTTCAGAATTCCGGAATGCGCCAAGGTTCCTCTAATGTTCGGAATTCCAGAATGTTCGGAATTCCGGAATGCGCCAAGGTTCCGGAATGTTTGGAACTCCAGAATACGCCAAGGTTCCGGTATGTTCGGAACTCCCGAATACGCCAAAGTTCCGGTATGTTCGGAATTCCAGAATGTTCGGAATTCCGGAATGCGCCAAGGTTCCGGAATGTTCGGAATTCCGGAATGCGCTATGGTTCCGGTATGTTAAGGATTCCAGAATGTTCAGAATTCCGGAATACGCCAAGGTTCCTCTAATGTTCGGAATTCCAGAATGTTCGGAATTCCGGAATGCGCCAAGGTTCCGGAATGTTTGGAACTCTGGAATACGCCAAGGTTCCGGAATGTTCAGAATTCCGTAATGTGCCAAGGTTCCGCAATGTTCGGAATTCCGGAATGCGCCAAGGTTCCGGAATGTTTGGAACTCTGGAATACGCCAAGGTTCCGGTATGTTCGGAATTCCAGAATGTTCAGAATTCCGGAATGCGCCAAGGTTCCGGAATGTTCGGAATTCTGGAATGTTCAGAATTCCGGAATGCGCCAAGGTCCTGGAATGTTCGAAATTCCGGAATTTACAGAATTTCGGAATACGCCATAGTTCCGGAATGTTCGGAATTTCGGAATACGCCATAGTTCCGGAATGTTCGGAATTCCGGAATGTGCCAAGGTTCCGGAATGTTCGGAAATCCAGAGCCTCGCGCCATAGTTCTGGAATGTTCGGAATTCCGGAATGCGCCATAATTCCGGAATGTTCGGAATTCCGGAATACGCCAAGGTTCAGGAATGTTCGGAATTCCGAAATGGGCCAAGGTTCCGGAATGTTCGGAATTCTGGAATGCGCCATGGTTCCGGAATGTTCGGAATTCCGGAATACGCCAAGGTTCATAGTGTCACAGTTCATGTTATTTGCCACTTCCCTCTTAGCTCTGAGTCCCCTAGTTCATAGTTCCTGCTCTGTTTTCAGCCTCTCATAGTTCATGCTCTTAGCTCCTGCTCAGCTTTTATTGATATTAACTCTTCTACAGTCCCTCTTCTCCTCCTTCTCATTTGGTACCACCACCTGGACCTTTTGGAGGAGGACAAGTGAATCTTCAATTCAGAAGCATCCAGAGGAGGAAGCAGGGGCAGCCATTTCTGGCACATGTATCACTCTTTAGAGAAAAAACGCTATCCATAACTCAAAATTTAGAGTAATTTTTTTTCTCGAGTTAGTTCTGCCAATCAGGAACCCATGTGAATGATTTAATTTCCTTGTTACCTGGAAGGAGATGGTGCCAATGCATGCGCACTCAAAATCGGACCGTGAGGTAGCAAACATGAAGAAATTTGCGCCAGGTTATTCAGTTTTCAATGCCCTCTAGCAAATGATGAATGCATAAAAGGCATTAACTGTGGTTATGTCGAGTTTCTAGAGACGACCTGTGACACACACATGTAATGGAGCTGTCAATAAATTATTAGCTATCCTGACTTCAGGTCTTAGATGAACAGTGAGTTGGAATCCAATGTGTGGGTCATGGACATTACCGAATGCTGTGATTCACAGACAGTGGCTCAGGAGCCACACGTGTCTCACAACACATTATATCTGAGTCAAAGGTTTCAG